GGAGATACAAAAAATTGTTCTGACAAGTACAGCCCACACCTTACGAAGGGCTTTATCTATGTAATTTCATTTTTTTTTTTGTCAGTGGAAAGTGTCATGACGCCATCTCTAACCTTAGGTCCCTGGGCGGGACCCGGAAAGAAATGTGTAAACGCCAGAAATTCACAGTTTTCCTATTTGAATTTCCTGATGAATCTTAATTCTTCAGTTAATGACTGAATAAGCTCATAGTAAATTCTATGACAATAAAATATATACAGAAATTCCCCGACCGCATCGTTAAAATATTTAAGCTTAACACCTTTAACAAATTATTACAATAACAGTTTTATATATATATGAATGCTGGTCGTTTTTTTTAGGAAGTAAGGGGATACAAATAAAAGAAAAAATTGTAATTAACACCTTTTTCTATTTCACTGAAACGGGCATTAAAGATATCTATCTTCCCTTCTTTCTTTCATCTTCTCACTGAAATCAAATAGCATCTTTGACATGTCTTCTCACGCAATCAAAATGGAATAGTCCATTATTTATGAGGTATTAGCTGGAGACTTTAAACATTTCTTGCATTCTTCTTTTTTTCAACGAAGCCAAGTAGCATCTCTGGTATGACTTTTGTCTTTGCCCGCGATCAAAACGGATTAGACGATTATTTACGAGGTACTAGCAGGGCGTAACGGTCGTGCGAAATAAAAAGGGCGGGACAAGCACAATTGTAATAGGATAAGATTAATATTAGTAGCAACAATAATAATAATACAATGAAAAGAAATTATCAACAAAGTTGCTGCTGCTGCTGATGATGATGATGATTATTGCTTTCTTGTTTGGCTTATTGGTTCGAGCAAAGGACTAAAGACGACTGAATCGATCAGAGCAATAAAATAGTAACAGCGCTTATAATAATTGTTAGCTTCCTTTCCGGAGATATTTCAGTAGAACCCAAAACACTATAAAATCTGAAATACTAATAAAGAACAATAATTATAGGATGAATAAGATTAATATGAAGATGTGTGTTGCTATGACAAGGAAAATAAGAGCAAAGTATCTCTATTGTAACAGTAAAGGGCAACGAGGGGCGAGGCAGACAGTCGAAAATAAACTATTAAAAATAGAAAAATAAGTGCTTTTTAACAGAGAAGAAGAAGAAGAAGCAAAAGATGATGATGAATAATGAGAAGAAGAAGAAGAAGAAGAAGAAACAGTATGTGGAGACGAAAAAAGAAGAGGGTGTGAAGGAAAAGGAGATAGAAAAAGGACGAGAAACAGCAGCAGAAAATAAAGAATAAGAATGAATAAAGAAAGAAAGGAAAGACAATGAGAATAATGAGAAGGCGGGGAAGAAGAAAGATTAAAAAAAGTAGGAGACCATGAAGATGCAGAAAAGGAAAACGAAGAAGGAATTAAGAAGAATAAAAAAAATTAAAAAAGATGGAGGCAGAAAGAAGAAAGAAGTCGTAAGAAGAAAACGTGGAGTATTAAAATGAAGCCAACGAAGAAGAGAAAAGAGGAGGCAGCAAAGGGTGAAGAAGAAGAAGAAGAAGAAGAAGAAGAAGAAGAAGAAGAAGAAGAAGAAGAAGAAGAAAAAGGAGGAAGTGGAGTCAATAAACGGTGTAGAAGAATAAGGAGGAAAAGGAGGAGACAGCAGACAGATGAGGAGGAGGGGCGGATGAGACGGAGGAGGAGGCAGTAGATTGAGAATAAGAAGAATGAGGAGGTGGAGGCAGCTGAGGGTGAAGAAGAGGGAGGAGGAGTCGGTAAACGGTGAAGAAATATAAGGATTCAGAGGAGGAGGCAGCAGGCAGATGAGAAGAAGAAGAAGAAGAAAAAGAAGAAAAAGAAACGTGGGAGATAGAGAAAGAATTGGATATAAAGCAATAAAAGTCAACAATAACTAAACGGTTTGACTTTATTGTAGCTTCATGAAGTTTGTTCATAAAAAGAAGAGCAGAAAAAAATGACTTCGATCAAAATCGCCGTAAAGATGGCGGTCTGTTTGTATTGATTGTATTTGGTGAGCAACCAAAATTATTCTTTAGCGTCTCGCATCCAGCCGGATCCTGACGCCAGCAACGATTTCCCAGTGTTTGCCTTTCTTTTCCCAAGGATTCCATTCTTAGTTTCACATCAGAGAGAGGGAATCGATTGGCAATTTTTTGTGTCTTGCACAATTCTCGCCTGCTTTCAAGTCAACTGTTAAGAGAACAATTGCAGTGGCTCGATATACAAGTCTCCTTGCATGCGAGGTGGCAGCGAAAAGTATCGACAAAGACCAGCAGATGCAAAACTGCTTTCCCAGTCGATGTTTATTACCAGACACTTGTCTAGAGATTTCTGGAAATTTCAGGCGTTTTCTTTATCAGAAATCGGAAATGAGTTAAAATTCTAAATAATAGTTTTTAAAAAGTGCTATAGCTCAGATTACCTCACGAGCTTGACGAAATGGATATCATAACAAGGAGTAGGAGTGATAATAGGGGGCGTAGTAGGGGGCGTAGTAGGGGGGCGTAGGGGGCGTAGTAAGTGGACAGATAAAATGGTTAGGAAATTGTAGTGAGAAATGGTTGCTTTCTTCTTTTTTATGCCGTATTCCTTTAGGACGTGAGCGATCATGGCTCTCTACAACTGTCCGTCTTTTTTAACTGTTAGCAATGTTTGTTTTTCGCTATCCTTCTCGCCCCATGTTCTGTCAGCCATTTACAGAAGCTTCTTACGTAGGTTACTTGATGTTTCACTTTGTTAGGATGTGAGTGATCATTGCTCTCCACAACTTCCTATACTTTGTGCCTATTAGCATTGTTTGCCTTTTGGACATCCTTCTCCCCCATTCTTCAGTGTGTTCTGTGAGTGTTACATTCTCCAAGCCCTCTTTCCTCATTATGCGACACTGAGCTTTCAACTAAGTATCCTTAAATTGCAAAAAGGCGTTTTGAAATTACATTGAATTTCTTTACTTCATAATTCACCTTTTTATAATTATTGGAAATGTCTTTCAATTGTTAGTTCAATTTGATCGGGTGCTTCATTATAATGGCCTTACTCCAGACAAATGTATACTAAAAGAGCACTTGTTATAAAATATTCTCTGTTAGTGGAATAGTTTGTTGGGTTATTTCCTCTTAATTTTCGAAACTGCTCCTAGGGGACGCTCTCCAAAACTATAAATTCTCTGCAATAATTTTTTATCACTCTCTTCTTACTTTTCCGCTTATACATGTAGATCTCTCGCGGAAGATTGCATTTTTCCCTTTTTGGGAAATGCATGAGCAATGCATACACACACACGTACGTACGCACATTCACTCACTTCACATAATTTGGACCAAAAAGTTTCCATATTCATTTGCTACACACATTATTGTCTTGTAACCCTTTTTTTTGTTAATACATTATCATTTGTTTGTACTTATATTTCACTTCTTGTTGTTTCTCCACATTTTTAGGTGGACTGATATCCAGAGTCCGCCATGTTTGTTGTGGGCATTTCAGGAGACGCACTTGTTTATCTCACAACTCGTAAACCGGCCCGCAACAAGTTCATCGTTGTCTCAATATCGTGGAATTGTGACAAAAAGGAATACGAGATAAAACGACACCGCATGATTCTTTGGTGACAAGGCAAAAATAGTTACATATCGGCTGTGAAGCAATAACGACGTATGACGGAGTAATATTTGCTTAATACTGTTAAAATGCTCTATTTTGGAGAATAATCTATTTTTCTATCTAAGCCATAAGTCTACAAGTAAATTTAAACGTAAATATAAATATTTAAACGTAAATACAAATATTTGTCAAAGAGAGGTAACTCCAGATGTATTAACTGTTAATTACAGATACGTTTATCTGAATTTTTTCTTTAATAAGAAAATAAGAATATTCAAGTAAGAATCATTCATGCATTTTTTGCTGTCAGTCCTAATGGCATAACAATTATGATACTTTAATAATAATAAAACATTACACTAGTAATAAGGTTTAGTGATGATGGACATTTGCAAATAATTACCTGAAAGGGCTTCTATCTCAGGCCATTGGCTATGAATTATTTTCTCAATAGATGCACGACTACAGTTGTTCTTTTTTTTTTTTTTTTTTTACATGACTAATGATGGTAAAAGAATGTGTATTTTCTTTGGCAAGAAATACCAAGGAGAATAGGTAGCATTTCTTGGCAAAGAAAACCTTCCAATTGAAACCGTTTATTAGAATCATATTAAATATTTAAATATCTTGAATTTCATTAAATAAATATATCGTGTCGATGTCAATACGTATGAAAAATAGGCAGAAGACCGGCAGTGGGACAAACTGCAAGATTTCGTCTGAATTTTTAAGGTTAGGAATTATGATTATTACATGTCTTTCCATTGAGACCAGTAAGCTCATCTTGTTATACATATGAAGTTTCGACTGTTGTATTTTCCTGCCTTCTTCAGGTGTCTGTTTTTATACTTCCGGGGAATTTCGAACCCATATTTTCATTCAATCTATGGATATATTTTTTCTCATGGTCTAGGGGATTAAAGTGTTAGTTAAAACATATTTTGTTCCCTGGCTATTGTTAGTTCAATCCCTGGATCTGGTAGTGCTGAAAAGTCACTTACTCTGGTTCAAGTGGAAGAAACAGACAAGCGACGCAAAGGTGAAGACTTATGTGTATTAACTGACATGAGTTATCTCCCCTAACTAACATGATTTATCTCCCCTAACAAAAAAGGATACATATACTTAACCTTAGGAAGAGATAGTTGAAAGTTCTGGGCCCCATAATAAAGAAAGAGGCCTTGGAAAATTTGACACAGGACAGATTGAAGGTAAGTGGGTCAGAGAAAAGCAACGCACCTAGCGAGTTTGAGTGAATGGATGGCGGAGGAGTTTTTTGGGGGGTGGGGGGTAAAGATACAATCGCTATTAAGAGCTACAAAGGAAAGGAAATTGTGGAGAGACATAATTGCCAACATCCTAAAGGAACTAGAACAGTTTACTTTTTGTTGAAACGCTGTTTCTCATCTGATCACCGAAGTTAAGCAACGTTGAGCCTAGTCAATACCTAGATAGGTGACCGCCTTAGAATAGCAGGTGCTGTAAGCTTGTAATGTGTAGAGCCGAGTTCGAATTCCAGCCGGGTTCGTTATATTCACTTACGCGCAAATACAATGGGAAAGGTATGAATCCACTTCTCTCCTCCCAGCAATGGGTTAAATAGTATGACTTGTATTTGAAAATCATTATTATCTAAAAAAAAAATCTTATTATCAAAAAATATTTTTTTGTTTGAATAACCTACAAAAGGTTGATAAGCCGTAAAAACATCAATCGGTTACAGAAATTCAATGACAAACATTTGAAGAAGGCCGTAGAGTAGAACGACTGAAATTTTGTGAGCATAACGACCAAGATAAGGATATTAGTTCGAATGGAAAGTCATATAATAGTGATTAAGTCTCCATATATATATATATATATATATATATATATATATATATATATATAGACAATGGTAGACAGGCAGTACCGAAAGTGCTTTCGGGTGGCACTTTTGAGTTCATTAATCGAAGCATGCAACCGTAACTTGGGGTTGGCCACCCTGCTACCCGTGACGACGTGTCACACATCACATTGTGACACTTACCCAATTGGGTGACTGTTATTAATTGCTTGTCTTTGTCCAGTTGAATTTCTGACCCACCCAAACAACCGCACTCGCCACCCGAATCAATAATTGTGTCTTACCCGGATTAAGGGAATGTTACGCTTGAAGGGCGTTTCTCTGACGGTAGATTCCTCAGTCAACACACACACACACACACACACACACACACACACGAGTACACACACAGGTATACACACAGATACACAGACACATCATACTGACACACACATACACACAAGTACACAGATACACACACAGACACATCACACTGACACACACACAGGTACACATACACAGCCACACACACAGACACACACAGGTACACACACACATAGACACAGACACACTTCGGAATACTGATAAATATTAACATTATTTTAGAATGACACGATAGGAGAGGAGAGGATTTTTTTCTCAAGATGAGATTAGAATTCCTGGAATTAGAATATCTGCTTAGAAATATGTAACTTTTTTTACAATAATATTCACCCTGTACAAGGCTCAAGAGCCACTCGAAGTAGAACGTTACAGAGTAACTTCATTTAAGCCCTTAGCTTAGCATGGTACACAGTCACAAGTGTGAGGCACCTAGTGAGAATCATACTCACTGTAATTGTAGCTGACTTGCATGGACGAACAAAAATCTTTGTTTCATAACGAAAAATTTACTCGGAACAATATAAGCTTGTACAAGTCTGCAAATATAGTGCACCCAGTAAGAATCGAACTCACTACGCTATCTAACTGTCTACGAGACTAACTGGCTCATCATTACGCCACGGTAAGGACTATACTTTTTTTTTTTACTGATAGCAGCTTAATTTGGCAGAAGGCCAATGTAATGGGAAACAGTGATCTTCTTGCAATAGTGACACGATCGGCGTGTCCATGACAGGTAAGCAATATTGCACATATATATATATAATTTTACCAACTCATCAGGTACGAACTGGTGGATAAAGGCCTTCTTCATCAACCAGTTCGTGAGTAGGCTAACCATGAAACTTTAAGTTGCATTATGAACGTAAGTATATGTTCGGTTAGCAAGGTCGAATTTACTCTATTCGAATCCTGTCAGAGGACTAATATTTTCTGTGAAAATTTCTCGGACATTCAGGCCGGTAAATGTTGTTTAATACTGTTTATTATAAACAGAGCATTTATTTAAATATCTTAAAATAATTGTCGGACTTTGTCCATTTCATAATATGTGTCGTCGTAAGTATATATATATATATTTATAAATAAATAAATAAAGTTTGTCACTTAGCTGATTGATTTTTAGCATCTGGTCTTTACAGTTTCGTAGATGGACTCTCCAGCAATCACTTCGTCCACTCGTCAGGGGCTATCAGCAATTGACTCTTTATATTTCTCGTTTTTCTTTTAGATATGCACTTTTCATTGGTGCAAGGTTCATTTTTTTCTCAAAGTGTGTCCGTGATCGTGCATCCACCTGTGCTGATGTCCGTACATGTAATATGTCGCGGTTGTTTCCCCTTTACGTCGTTTTTATAAAAAACTTAAGATTGTTTTTCAATCATGGAACAGACTGTTGCCATTCGGTGTCGACCTCAGTGTCTACTTTTATATTTACATACACTGACATTGAGCACTTTTAACCACAAATATAGCATACCTTAAAACTATATTTATATCATATATCTATTTGTGTGTCTATGTGTTTGTGTGTGTGTGTGTGTTTGTGGGAGTGTCTGTGTGTGTGAATGTTTGCGAGTGTGTGTGTGTGTTTTTCACGTGTGCGTGTTTGCGCGTGTCTGGGTTTGTGTTTGTGTGTTTGCGTGTGTGTTTGTGTGTCTGCGTGTATTTGCGTGTGAATGCGTGTTTGTGCGTGTGTGTATCCGCGCGCTTGTGTGTGTGTGTGTGTGTTTTGTAGGATGTGTTATATCCGAAACAAAAGTGAAGATCAGGAAACGAAGCAGATTTTTTTTTATATCAAAGACGCGTTTCGCCGGAGAAAGCTTATGCTCTCTTTGGCATCAGCAGTTTGACTAAAAAGCAAGACGAAAGTATGTGTTAGGAAAACATCTTGGGATCTCTAAGGAAAAGTAGGTATCGTAAATCAAATGAATTAACCTAGCGTATCACTTCCTGACTTGAGACTTGTACAGAGTCTGTCTGCCTCAGACAAGCACAGAGGCAGACAAACTCTCTTGAATCTCAAGTTTCGAAGCGATAAGCTAAGGTAATTAATAACTCTGTGAACTCTGTGGGCGTTGAAGACACATTAATGTGACTGAATAGACGTTTGCATTAGGGACTAGCTGGCTACCCTAAGAGACATGTGTACTTGGAATCGTGCAACCAGCTATTATTATTTAAATTATTTATCTGTCTATGTATATTTTGCTACGGGCATGGTGTATGTAGTAAATATATCTTTGCAAATATCAAGTCTCTTTCGCTCTTCGAATGCATCTTAACTTGTTTATATCGATTTTTTCTCAGCTTGTTTATACCTACATATCGACCGACGCAAATCTATCCACCTAAACAATATGTAACGCTAGATGAATTCGTTGTTATGTCTAGAAACATCATTAGAAGTCGTGATTATTGTGTATTCGATGTCATCTCTGGTAACACTTACACGGCCACTCAATAGAAAGATGTCCGATTGTTTACAGGGAATTAGACGAATATATATGACATGTGACACTCACACACACGCTTGCACGCACAAAGAAATAAACACACATACACACACTCACGCGCGGACACACGCAAGATACACTCATTACTTATTTCGAAGTATTAAATTTGTATCTATAATTTATTAAGCCTGCCGAATCACCACGGATTCGGTATTATTGTTACACCAAAACGTAGGAAGTATGGCGGAGGACAATCTTCCTACCTTGTTTTCCTTAGAAGCTAGTAAAAGAAAGTGAGGATTGGTTTTGTTTTGCTTTGTTTTACGGTATATCAACTTCAAGATTTTTATTGCTGATAATATTTTTTTTCAAAAATATATTCCTGGTTATATTTTTTACGCCCAAAATGTATTGCTGGTAATAATTTTTGCCTTTAAAAATGTATTGTCAGTAATCATTTTTTACAAAAATGTATTTCTGATATTAATATCTATTTTTACACTTTCATAGCGTTTTGACCCCAGTTTGGGGGTTAACTATTTGCCCATAGCTAGGCCCCTAACAGGTGCTACCACCCCGTGTCAGGGGCAGACCTGGGAACACCACCAATTAAGAGGTGGTACCATGCTCTTCAAAACCTCCTGATCAGAGGACTTGCTGTTGGATGTAGTTTATCGGCTTACCCAGGACGCGGATGTAGTTTATCATCATACCCAGTACGTCTTATTTGGGTTGGGGGTCTTATCCCTCTGCAGAGGTGCAGTCGGCGCATTCTGAATCCTCAGCCGACAGGGCGGGGAAAGCGAGGATTAAATATAAATTATAAGACAGCAGTATGGTTGTCAGCAAAAGGGGTTATCCGAAGATGCGAACTACATAACAGAGATACAAAATCGAGCAAGTAAAACAAATTTAAATATCTCTGAAGTGCATCAATAAAGGATGAAAAAAGTGGCGGCGAAATCCGAGAGAGCAATTGCAATAGCGAAAGATGCCTTCCAAAAGCTAAGTAAAGTGGCAAGAAACAGAAAAAGTGTTTCAGAAACAAAGAAAAGAGTATTGCATTGCTATGTGATATTAATTCTCGTGTAGGCAGAGAAATCTGGATAATTCCTTTTCAAATGAAGAGACTTGAGGCAACAGAGGCTCTATAGAAAGATGCTGGGAATAGCATGGACTGAACATGTGAGTAATGAGAAAGTTTTAAGGAAAATGAAAATAAAAAAGGAAATCATATTTTTTTTAAATGAACAGTCGTCTAATGGGTATTTAAAAGATTATTAATTGCGACGGTTTTTGCTTTTGCCCTGTTTGTATGTCTTTTCTTCCGGAATAATTAGTTTTACCTTATTCGATTTTTAAAAATATCTTTATTATATTGTCTTTACCCTATTCTTTCATAATAGGATAATATCAGTTTTGTTATAATGAAATACATATCAATCTCTGATGTGATTAATAGGATTAAATTCTGTTGATCTTACCCTATAAGCTGAGAACAGAACAATGATGGATATATGGATTCCAATTGTATTGACAAATGAATCAAATTGTTCACGGCTGAGGCTTAAGAAAGGGCAATATGGCGATTTTCCAAGCGTAGATAAGATGTGGCACAAGTGTAAATGCGTGGGGCACCTGGAGAATCGAACTCACGACTTACTCAAGCGAGAAAATCTTTTGCTAATACTTACATCAAATACGAAGCGCCCATGATTTTCCAAGCGTAGCTTAGATGTGTCACAAGGCCGAATATGTGCGGCACCCTGAGAATCGAACACACTACTCAGTAATAATGGATCTGGCTAGAAAAAAACTTGC